AACTTTAATTATAAGCCCTTTGTCATAAGCTTAAAGCCAAATTTTGTTATAAATTATATGGATTTAAATCATATTTCAAAAGCAATTTATGAATCTTGAGATATGAGTATATAGTATAAATTTAAAATATTATTCTTATTATTTACCTTTATTATATCAGACCTAAGGACCAGAGCATCCAGAGGTACATTTTAAGTTTGGGCAGCAAATAAGGGCTGCAGCCAGTATATAGTGAACATAGTTGACGTGTACATTAGAAATAAACTTTAGCGGCCACCTTCACGCATTCAAACCAGACAAAACTTTTCTTACTTTCCTCAGCTGAATTTTTAGGTGGTGTGTGTGGGGGCGGGGAGGTGGCAGGCTGTTCCTGCTTCCCTGAGAGATCATGAGAAGAAGAAGCGGCTGGCTGGCAGTGGCCACCCGATGTACCTGGCCTCATAGTCTCCTTTGTCTTCCTCCTCCTTGTATTCCAGGGACTGTGGTACCTGCAGGGGGGAGGGGCGATCCCCTCCCTGGCTGCAGGCTGCCCCGAAGACTGGAGCAAGCTCAACTGCCTTGGGAAGCCTGACTCCTGAGGCAGCAAAGGGCAGGGAAGGGTGGCAAAAACTCCCTTTACATTCCTGACATCCTAGAAATGAGAAAACAAAACCTGAAAGGGGCCTGAGGCTAGAGGACATTGGCCCAGGGTAAACATTAATTTACTGACAATCATCACAAAGAGACTGACCACAGGTGACAGGACAAACAGAACAGAGGAGACATTCACAAGGAAGAATGCTGTGCCAACCAGTCCAGAAGGGCTGCAGATAAGCAACCGAACGAACGGCCAGAAGAGGGTTTGGAGCATCCTCCTCCCCCTCCAGCTCAGAGGTCACTGGTGCGTCCACCTACTCTTATTGAGTTCCCGTCTCTCCTGACACCAGAAACCAGAACCAGAAACTTACTGATGGGCCAAAACCAGTAGAACAAGTTTGCCAGAGACTTGGGGTGCCCCCTGCCCAGAACCAGTATTTCTAGAGTTCTCCATACCGGCTACCAAAATGTTGGGCCTGGGGTCATGCAATAATGAGGGACAGACCACCAAAGTCTATTAAACCAGAAGCAAACTTTTTTCCAGAAAAATAAAATTTTAAAATTAAAACACTGCAGGGCACAAAAGCTTATCCGCTAACTGAGGCCACAGCCAATGTTGGAATTCTGGCAATGGAGGCGGGTACCAGCCCCCTTTTATAGTGTCAGGCATGGGGTGCATGCTAGGAGTCACACAGAAACAACTATTAAAAATTAACTTTGGTCCAGGCAGTTGTTGACTGTAAGGGGCAAGGGGGTTAACAGTAAACCCCTGGTTGTTGACAGAGGAGCTGGCTGTAAAGCAGACAGCCATTGTTAGCAGTTAACCTTTAGAGCTGATGACTGTCAGCTTTTATTTATTAAGCTTATACTTTTATATGTCTATATTCCTGGGCCCTTCACAATTAACTATTTTTATGATAGCTATCATCTATCTAAGTTGGAAAATTTGACTCTTCAGGCAGATTCTCTGGGCATACCAATTAGGGTGCTTCCTAATTCCGCAGGTACAAGGTGGCCTCTTCCCTGTGCCTCCCCACACGCGTTGCTGTGTCTGTGGACATTTTCTGCATTGCATTGTGCTTAAGACAGGAAGCCTCACAGCCCAGGATTCTAGAGTGGGCAGGTTTCCACACTGGGTTCGGTGTGGGAGAGGACATTCGTGTTGAGATAGACTGACCAGCAGAGAGCATGCCGGAAACAGCACAAGGCGTTATTTCTCCCACATGGAACTGAAGCCCTCGTGGTTACATAGGGTATGTTAGGTCGGATAATCTCCTTTTTCCTCCCAGAATTTGAGTACTTAGCCGTTCATTGCTGTTTTCTGGCTTTGAAAATATGTTGTCAATTTTCCACATGTACTTTTCCGCTTTCCAGTAAAGAATGAGCTATGTTATGGTGTGTGTGTGTGTGTGTGTGTGTGTGTGTGTGTGTGTGATTCAAGAGTAAACTCAGGGGTCTGGTATCTGGCCTGAGGCAACACACAAAGACAGACATTTGGTAGATCAGTGTAAGAACATAGTTAGGAAGGTGCTCTATCCCATGAAGGTAAGGAGAGAAGGCAGTCATAGGGAGACATCCACTGAGAGCTGAGTGGGGGCATGGGAAAGGGGCAGGAAGTTTGAAGTTCTAGCGTGGGGAACTTTTTCATAGGCATGTACTATGGATCATATTATTTTCATAAATTCTTACCCATGTTTCTGTCTTTTATCATCTCTTGAGTATGGGCTAATGTAAGTTTGTCTTACATGATGTACACTTCAAGGTTTCTTTCTGAGTGCTTGTAAAATGCCCTTCTGGAAGGTGGCATATAATTATTACTTATTTTAAATTATAATAGAAGAAACTTGTGCTCTTTCAAATTTCAACATTTTTAGTGCTTTTTATCTAGGAATTTTTTTTCTACATTGTGAAGTTTGACAAATAATTAACTTTGTACATGTTTTCTTTAATGAATGTTTAGCTCATGCCTGGGTATTGAATATAAGATTTAAACCTCTCTCTGTTCTTGACCAATTGGCCTCATTGCTTTGGGCCTTTGATGGTGTAGTATGTGGTGGCAGTAAGTGTGTGGAGGAGACTCATTCATTTCAAGGGTGCTTTGTGTGGTGTGGAGAGGTCCCACTGTCTGCTCTGAAGGGAATTCCCCAGGGATTAACTTCTTCCCACTAGGACCCACCTCTTAAATGTGCTCCCACCTCCCAGTAATGCCCCAGGCTGGGGAACCAGCTGTGAACATGTGGCCGCTGGGGACAGGGATCCAGGAGTGGCAGTGCATTCCCTGTTTGGTTACTGGGAGTCATTTTTGAAAGTGACGATGTGACGTTTCAGTGTGTAAACATAGCTCTCATCTCAAAAGGAACAGAGATAGCTTAATGCTTGGGTCAAACGTGAGTGACATGTGCGAACAACATGTATTCAGGTTGCCCCAAGAGACATGCTCACTGTGGATTGGTCACATGAGATTTTGTTAGTTACAGCACAAAGAAGGTCATAAATCAGAGTGTTTACCAAATGCATTGCTTGGAACCACAGGCAGACAGGTCACAGAAAATCTGCCATAGGTATTGATACTGTGTGATGACGTAGCTTTTGGATTTGTGGAAACTAGTTGTCTGCTAAGAATACATTTTAAAGACCTTAATGAATAGTGTGTTAGGTTAAGATGCATTACATGACTTTCAAAGGGACTGAAAATAGCCTAAGATAATTTAACTCTGGTCTGCTACATTTTCACTCTCCATAATCTTTAAGTTCAGGCATTGCTTGTAAAGTGTTTAACACAGGTGGGGCTTTTCTTCTTTCCTGGGACCTTAACCTTACAGATGACAGGAGCCCATTCAGTTGGTACCAAAGGCTTTCCCATGCTAGACACTGTTCTGTTACTGTAGCTGCTGCCTTGATAGAGTCTCTGTCTTCGCACAGATTGCGTTAAGTATGGAATCTGGAGTCACAGATAATAACAAAGAATATAAATAAGCCGTGTAATCCCAGCTAGTGATGGAGGTTGAGAAGCTCAGCAGGGAGCTAGGAGGGTGAACTGCTACTCTTCCTTCTGCCCAGTCTGGGAAGAGGCTTTCTACAGACCTGAGGAAGAGTTATCAAGCGTCAGTGAAAGAGACAGCAGATGGCCTGGTCTTAAAGCAGGGGTGAGCTTGGTGAATAGCTGGAGAATCATGGACATGGGGAGAGAGCTTACAATGAGATCAGAAAAGTCAGCAACAGTAAGTAGGCTTCATAAAGACAGAGGCCAGCCTGGGCTGTAGAGTGACACCCTGTCTCAAATAATTCACAACAAAACAACAACAAAAAGCAGAGAGGGTGGACAGGACACGGACTGTGGGAGTGGAGGGAGTGAGTACAAGTTAATATTAGATGTCAGGGTTAAGGCTCCTACTGCTTTGTCAGGACTGTGGCCTTCAGGGGGAGAGTGGCCAAGCAGTGAGAGCCTGAAGTTTCAGAGCTCACTCAGCTTTGGAGCCAGGTGTGTGTGTGTGTGTGTGTGTGTGTGTGTGTGTGTGTGTGTGTGTGTGTACGTGTGTGTGTGTGTACGTGTGTGTGTGTGTGTACGTACATTCTGGGCTCCATCATCTACTCCTGGGTGACTTGGATGCTACCTAGTAAACTTGCATCCCAAGTTCTTATCTCTCTCATGAAATAATGGCAATATCAACCCTTTGATCAGAGGGATGCAGGGAAAACTTTCTCAGCCTCACAGAAGTCTCTTCTCAAGAGACCTTTACCTCAAGAAAGGCAGTTAGGGTAGTCATCATTGCTGTTACCTTCATTTTGAAGTTACTGGCACAGTTCCTAACAGTAAAGGAAAATGTTTTATATAAAAGTCCTACAATCAGATTATTGTTGATATTAGACCAAAACCGTGCGTTACAGAGGATGGAGACTTTCAATAAAGTGATAGAGCAAAATTCACAGGCCAAAAAGAAAAGACTCAGAGAAGGAAGGACAAGGAGGAACCCACAGCTGAGCCAGGCAGAGTTCAGGGTCTTCCCTTTGGCTGAAGAAGGCTGTCACTAACCTAACCTGTTTTGTGTGGGACGGGGTCTCACTGTGGAGCACAAGCAGGCTGGCCTTGAACTCGCAACCCTCTTCCTTTACACTCCCCAGTTGCTGGATGCCATTTGTTTTTGAGGCAGTGATTGTAGTGACATGGTTTCTGATATGTCAGAATGACGTGGGGGACTGTTGAGAGAATTCTAAGTCTTAAGCCTCTGTCTCAGGTGAGGAGATGGGCCATCTGAAGGCTTCACAGAGCCTGGAGGGAGGGTGAGACCGTCCGTCGTGGATTTGGGGATGAGTCTGCTGTGGAGGGAGGACCGCAGAAAAGCCTTTGCTCAGCTGGGTGTCAGTAGAGCGACAGCTTGCTTCTGTTGTCCCGTTTCTGTGGTGACTGTCCCCTTGTCTCCTAGGTACGTAGGAAACCTCCCAAGGATATTTGACTACTCGCCATTAGATCCAACGCAGGACTTCAACACCCAGATGTAAGTGCCCAATGCTGCGTTTGAAGTTTCTGGTGGGGTGTTCGCATTGGTTACTGCTGTGTTGAAGGCAATTCCTTTTTCTTCTTTATTTTCTGTATTTTTAAGTGTTCTAGAATGGGTGTGTGTTACCTTTATAAGAAGAGATTAATAAAGTTATAAAGTACTGAGGAAACTTTGAGAGTGGAGTCAGAATCAAGCAGAGGCAAAACCCAAGCTGTTTGTGAGGAGCAGCCCCCGCCACAAGGACTCATGGGTGACCTTCACATCTCTGTGGGAAACAGCAGTGGCCGCTTTACTGTTTGTCTCTCTCCTGGCTAGGACTAAGTTGGGGCATGGCCTCCTCTCTGGCCAGTACTCGAAGCCTCCCGTGAAATCCGAGCTCATTGAGCAGGTGATGAAGGAGGAACACAAGGTACGTGTCTCTGTGTGCCATGTTGACATGTAGGTGGGCGGGACTTTGGTCAGTGATGTGGGATTCCTTTGTTGGCAAAAGGCTGCTATAAATTCAGCGAGCTGCCAGGGTAGCTGTGAGTGGGTCCTTGTCCCTGTGTTCTTAAAAAAAAGGCAGTGTCAATTTCCACTGACGTGGGTCACACATGGGCGATATGTGTGCTCTTACTTGTGATTTTCTTAAGGCAGAGCTGGGATCGGAGGCATGAAGCTTAAAACCTACCCCTCCCTTATTCAGTCTGGGCCTCTCAGTGTTTACCTTAAGCTCCAGATATTTTTGCTACGTCCCCTTGTCTCCCTCCTTCCATCTCTCCATCCTTCCTCTTTACTCCCTCTCTGCCCCCTTTTCTTCCTTCTAAAGAAAGAGTCTCCCTGTGTAGGCTAGCACTGTATAACTTTTTCTTTAGAGATATGAACAGCATGGACTCACTGGAGGTAGGGCACCCATAACAGGCCACCGTAACAGTTTACCTAAGTCTGGTTTGGGGGACCAATGAGTTTCTTGGGGAGTACTCAGACAAACAAGGATGAGGGATGACTGACAGAGTGTGGGTTCCTCAAAGACAGCCCACCCCAGGATGGGCAGTGACTCAGAAAAGCAGCATCCCTTGTAGCTCTCTGTCCAATTTGCAGACAGCTCTAGCGAAGAGTTTCCTTTCCCTCAGAATTGTTCATTGCTTATAGAACCTTAGGGAGGGTCTTGTAAGTTTTGAACCGTCCTTAGTCTTGTAAGTTTCCTGAGCTTCCTGAGTGCACAATCTCTGGAGAGAATGTTTCAACTGGGAGAAAATATTAATAGCTCTACAACAGATTCCCAGGTTGGCCTTGAACTCTTGATCTTCCTGCCTCTGCTTCCACAGTGCTCACTACAGGTTCTCTTTTGTTAAACCACAGCACATGGGATCCTCAGCCTCTCCCAGAGCTGAGTGGTTTCCCAGCATGCTCAGCTAGGGAAAGTCAGTCAGCTGCTTGCTGCTAATAGGTAGACTAACTGAAAAATGGGTTTGCTGGATCTCCGAGTGCACACTGGGCTGCTATCTCCTCCCAGACGTCAGTCTTACACAGCTCTAGGGGCACGGCTTGCAGCCCGCTTCTTCTGAATGGTGCCCTTGGCAATGCACAGCCTGTATAGATGGGTTCAGCATGCCTCACAATTATGGCCACAAGCATACTGAGTGAAACCCAGACCCGCTTCCTCCTCTGTCTCTTCAGAGTACCCCGTGTTCACCTGTACACTGTAGTGCTCAGGCCTGTTCCATGCTGCGTCTCAAAGGTTTGACCTCTGCGCTCCTCAGTTAGCTCAGCTATCCTTAACTGACATGATTTAAGAGCAGGAGTGGAAAGAGAGTTCATTCTTAATCATATGGAGCCAGATGCTGGAGGAAGTGGACAAGGGAGAGGAGGAGGATGTGAAGGGGAGTATATCCACATAGGTATCTGGATGGGGAGAGGGAAGCATGCTAGGAAGGAGGAGGGAGGGAGGGAAACAGATACTTTGCTTAGAGAGCCCAGGAGTGTACACCTTCTCAGGCTGTCTTCTTACCCAGCATTGCAGGATAAGGACCACAGATCTATCAGGACACAAGGGAGCCTCACTGGGGACACACGGGATGTTTGGGCTATGGCATCACCCAGGCTTCTTTCTCTAGCTTCCATGAAACTTTGAAGGAGTGATGGTTGATAAAAACAAAATTGTATTTTGATCTCATTATTCTGGGGCATTGTTTAGGTGTTCTGATCTCATTATTCTGGGATGTTGTTTAGGCTGGGCCTTGGGAAACGCTATGGGGGTGGGTGACCTCCACCTTGTCTGGTGGAGACAAGGAGCCTGGTCCTGCAGGGCTGTGCAACTGCAGGCATATCATCAAGCCACAGCCTTCAGATGGCTGCAGCTGGGGTACTTTTAGGAGTGTCCTGACGATGGGAAAATCTGTGTGCAATTATGACCATTATTGTGCTTTTAGAATCCCCTTACTTGAGGAAATGTAAACTCTCCAGGTGAGCAGTGTCTGGAAATAAAACTGAATTTTGCTCTTATCATGATGTCCTTGACCACCGATGAAGAGGTAGCTCTTGGGATGATCAGGGTACAATATATTTCATCTCACAGACGACTGCCTTCAGCCCTTCCGCTCTTCAGCATCCGATCCAGTTGCTGGTACCGGCTGGGCTGGCAAGTGGGAACCCCTGCTCTGTCTTTCGGAGTATGACTGCCTTCACTTGGGCCACACTGGGCTGAGTGTGTTTTCTTGGTTCATGCATACTATGCAAGCCCTAGCCCCTCAGTGGCATCTGGAGCCCACTGGCAGCCCTCTAATATGAGGACGGACACCATGCCCAGATGACTCCAATCGCTGTGACTTGAGACCTGTTTAGTGCTCCTGGCATTTGGGTTTGTGACATTTGGTCTAGATGACTTAGAAAACACTTCCCTGCAGTGTAGAAACTGTTGGTCTGGAGGAAAGAGTCCTGGAGTGTTTATTGGTAGAGCAGTGACCTAACACGTACAGAGCCCTGCATAGACAGAGTGTGGTGGTGTAGGGCTGTAATCCCGTCACAAAGTGTCACTGCTGTAGAGGCAGTCACACCTGGGAGAATGGAGCCGATTAAAGAGGAAGGCTGAAGTCTTTGTTCAGAGTGTCAGAGAATTAAAACAAACAAACAAATAAAAAAACACAACAGTAAAGTTCTCATGAGTTCAAGCTGTATACAATCACAAGGACAAGCTGCACATGGCAAAAACATGTTTTTTCATGGAGGCATATAAAGGATAGTTCAAACATTTTATTGATCAACAAAGGCAAGCAATAATGAGTAATCTAAAGTAAACTCCTTCCTATCTGCTGCACCTGGGAGGAGCAGGAAAACTCATTCCAAGGACAATTCCGTGTTTTGAAGAAACTGGGGTCAATGAGACTCTTGTCTTGTTTTCTTGGAGTTTTCACAAGCACGCAGAATTCTCCTCACATGACTCCATCGATGGACTGTGTTTTAACAAACAGGAGGTGGAGACAGGGGGATCATAAATTCAAGGTACATAGTGATCTCTAGGCCAGCCTGGCCTAAATGAGGCCCTGCCTAAAACAAACAAAAGTTAAAAAGAAAAAACCCCTGACCATGAGTAGCTGCATTGTGCTCCCTGGAAGTAGAGAGAAGGTCTTGTCTGGGGGTGGAGGGTGGGAGTAGGCTTTTGGTTCAACATCGATATGGCTCCTGTGACATTTAGGGTAGAGCAGGGACTGAGCATATTTTCTTTTGTAGTCCTGGGCATGTTGGTTTTAAGCAGTTTTTCATATAGACTAATAGTCCACAGCAGAACTCTACTTCTTCTGATGGTGGAGGGAATTATTCTGCAAACAGCTCACATCATGTTTGCTGGGGCCAGGCTCTTCCTGTGTGGAGACAGAAATCCGTGCCGAACGGTAGAATGCTGTGGACGTGGGAATTGACCCGGGCTATCTGGTGTCTGTGCAGCTGTGGACAACTCTGCGATCCTGCTCCAGCACTTGCGTAGATGGGACATTTCAAGTGTGCAAATTACCTGCTAGCTCAGTAGCATGAGCTTTTCACTTCTCACCTCTGCATTTTGTCTTGTATTTTGGCTCATTCCTGATAGATATACATCCTGATATCAGACCATCTGCCATAGACCAAGGGAAGGCCTGGATTTTTAGTAACGTCTCGGTTAATAAACCATTTCCTCTATAAAGAATCTCAGTGTCTTAGTTATGTTTCTATTGATGTGATAAAACTCCGTGACCAGAAAGAACTTGGGGAGGAAAAGGTTTGTTTTGTCTTACACTTCCAGGGAACAGTCCATCACTGAGGGACCTTAAACAGGCAGGGACCTGGAGGCAGGAGCTGGCACAGAGACCATAGAGGAGCAATGCTTACTGGCTTGCTTCTCATGACTTGCTCAGCCTGCTTTCTTATATACCCCAGGACCACCTGCCCAGGGGTGGCACCACCCAAAGTGGGCTTGGTCCTCCCTTATTAATCACTAATTAAGAAAATGCCTTGCCTACAGGCTTGCCTATGGGCCGTTCTTAGGGAGGCATTTTCTCAACTGTCATTTATTTTCTCAGATGTGTCTGAGTTTGAGTTTGTGTTACATTGACATCACACCCAGTGTTTTAATATAAAAGATATTGTTGTTATTATTATTATTATTATTATTATTATTATTATTATTATTTGTGTGTGTGTGTGTGTGTGTGAGAGAGAGAGAGAGAGAGAGAGAGAGAGAGAGAGAGAGAGAGAGAAAAGAGAGGTGTGCATATGTCAGTGGAGGCCAGAAGAGGGCTTCAGATTGCCTGGAGCTGGAATTAGGTGATTGTAAGTGGCCCAGTATGGGCGCTGGGAACTGAACCTGGGAAGATCATCAAGCACTTTTTAAAATTTTTATTTATTTTATTTTATTAACATTTTTTAAAATTTATTTTTACAGTTTCCCCTCCCTTCTCTCTTCCTGCCCGCCCCCAATCTGCCTCCCTCCCCATCCACTCCTCCCCTATCTCCATTCAGAAAAGGGCAGGCCTCCCATGGGCTTGAAAAGGCATAGCACTTTAAGTTGAGACAGGACCTAGCTCCTCCCCCCCGCATCAAGGCTGGGCAAAGTAATCTAGCGTGGGGAACAGGTTCACTGAGCGCCAGGGACAGGTCCTGATCTCACTGCTAGGAGCCTTACTAAGAGAGCAGGCTACATAACTGCAACACTCATGCAGAGGGCCTAGGTCGGTCCCATGAAAGCTCCCTAACTGTTGGTCCAGAGTCCAGGATCTCCCATGAGCTCAGGTCTGCTGTCTCGGGCAGGAGACTACTTCCTGAATATAACACCAGTAGCACAGACACTGACTAACAATTAATAAATGGGACCTCCTGAAACTGAGAAGGTTCTGTAAGGCAAATGATAATGTCAATGAGACAAAATGGCAGCCTACAGAACAGGAAAAGATCTTTACCAATCCCACATCTGACAGAGGGCTGATCTCCAAAATATATAAAGAACTCAAGAAACTGGACATCAAAATACCAAATAATCCAATTTAAAAATGGGGTGGATATCTAAACAGAATTCTCAACAGAAGAATCTCAAATGGCTGAAATACACTTAAAGAATTGCTCAACATCCTTAGTTATCAGGGAAATGAAAATCAAGCACTTTTAACTGCTGAGTCGTCTCTCCAGCCCAGTATTTGATACGGAGGACTCTACCATGTCCTTAAGAATTTGTTCTTGATATTTATTTTACTTGTTTGTGTATGCTGAGGCTCACACTCAGATCCTTCCTTGTTCATGCTCGACAAGTGCTTTCAAACAGTTTAAAAGTGGGAACCCTTTGAGCTTTTTCCACCTAAAAATAGCATGTTGGAAGTGGCTGTATATTCTGAGAAACTGTGTCTGGGACACTTGGATTCCCAGATTAAATAATTTTGGCTGACACCATTGTGGGTTTTAGCCTCGCCCGAGGTAGCTAGCCTCCTGCCACACTGAGGTGATAGGGTTTTAGCTTTAAGCATTGGACTTGCTTTCTTTAACTTGTATTTACCCATCTTGGGCAAATGTAACATTCTTGTCTTTTTTTCTTAACATGAAAAAGCACATTTCCCTGCATATAAGTGCAAGGTAATAGTGTTTCTAAGAGAATCAAACCACAGACACAGTCTCCCTCAAGTGTTTCCCTCCACCATGTTGAGTTGTCATGTAACTCAAATGAACCAACTTCAGTCTGCTTGTTTTAAATCATGTGACAAACAGGAGGAGGAGAAAGGACTGCCTGGGATTCAGTGTTAACAGTTCCCATTGGGCTTGAAGCTGGCTGCTGGAGAATGAGCTGCCAGCAGAACTTGCCATTCCCAGTTTGTATGAGCTCCCTTTACTCCGCACACTGAAGCATTCGTATATGTCAGTTACTCAAAGCAGTCATGCTAACACTTCTTCCTCCAAGTACTGTGCCTTACTGAAACTGACCAGCAACTGTCTTGTAAACTTGTGTGTTTGTAGACGAATTTCTAAACAGTCTTACTAAATAAGAAACACAGAGCCAGATACAGGGGTACAAGCCATAGAGATCAGAGCAATGATAGCCACCAAACTAACCTTAGCTCACCACACTGCCTTGCTTCCCAAGCGAGCCTCTTCCTATCTAACATGAGCTTTTATTGCCTTGCTGTTCTGCCTTCTCATTGGCTCTAAGCCCAGCCACATCACTTCCTTGTCACTGCCTGTCTATACAGACCTCCAGGTCTCTATGGTTGGTACTGGGATTAAAGGCATATGTCACCACACTTGGCTGTGTCCTTGAACACACAGAGACTCTGCCTGCCATGTGATCGGATTAAGGGCGTGTGCCACCACCGCCTGACTTCTGTTTATGGCTGACTATGACCTCTGATCTCCAGGCAAACTTTATTTATTGACATACAAATAAAATATCACATTTCAGCACAAGTAAAATATCACCACATGTGTTAGGGACAGATTGAGCTGTGTCTGTGGTCAGACATATCTTCAGGCATTGCTCTGATGTGCTGGAAGCTCCAGCTAGCTCACTTCTTGCTTATTAATTAAAGCACTGGGCTCTGGGGAACGAGTGGATGCTGGCTGTGTGCCAACATGCTGTTAGAAAGTCCTGTGCAAGCATCTGGGAGAATCTGAGCACTGTAGTCCTCTCTAGCTTTAGCTGGTCTGTTTTCCACTTGCTGATGGAGAAAGAAGTACAGTAACCTAGTCGGACCACAGGCTCCCTCAGAGGATGCTGTTATGGAGACTCTGGGCCACCCTTCTACAAAGTGAGTGGTCAAGAGACAGCTTACAACCAAGACAGCAGGCCACATGTCATCCTCTGCCCTCATTTTGCATGCTAGGGCTGTAGGAACTCTGAGGTGATGTCACTAGGCCACTGTCAAAGGGAAAGTGTGACTTTTGTAACTCCATTCTCTAATTTTCATTTTGACTTTTTAGAAACTGTCGTTTGCAGAGCCCAGCCTTTTGCTTGTGTGTGTGTGTGTGTGTGTGTGTGTGTGTGTGTGTGTGTGTGTGTGTGTATGTGTATCATCTGTGTGTGCATGCATTTAGTGGTCAGAGATCAACCTTGGATGTAGGGCTTTGGGAACAATCCATCAGAAGCAGCAGAAATAAGCCAGGGGAGGCAGCAGTTACTTCCAGTCCCAGTCTGGGGAGGCAGAGGCAGGGTGATCCTTGATGCTTACTGGTCAGCGGTTTAGCTGGTGCATGAGCTTCAGGTTTGGTGAAAGATCCTGTCTCAAAAAGTAAGGTGATGAGGTGACTGAGGACGACAGCCAACATGGACCTCTGGCCTCCGTGTGCATGCTTGCACATTTGCACACACACATGAACATATCCATAAACTAAAAAAGAAAAAAATCAAATTTGCATCTGTGTGTAGAGAGCAAAGCATATTGCATTCCCGTGAGCCTTCTGAGCTCTGACAGGTGTCAATAGTCAACCTTTGTGAGTGCAGGTGTGTGCAGAGGTCAGCGACCTCAGACTCCTCTGAAGCTAAGGTTACAGGTGGTTGTGGGCTGCCTGAAGCCTGGTGCAGGGGCTGGAGCTGGAACTGGACTCAGATCCTCTGGCAAAGCAGTGAGTGCTCTTAACTACCAAGTCACCTCCCTGGCCCCATGAACTAGCTTCTCCTCTTAACTGTCAGAGTTCCCTTCCACAGTGCATGTCTACTTTGCTCTGAAGTTTGACCAGTGTGTCACTCGTACTGTGAGGATGGGCCTCAAGCCTGTTAACAAAGTGGGACATTGCCCACCCACTGTCCTGATCTCTGAGTCCACAGGAAGAGTCCCAATTTGTTCTCACGTAAGGTTTCACTGTGTGTGTGTGTGTGTGTGTGTGTGTGTGTGTGTCTGTATATCCATATACATATATGTATACATATGTGTCTGTATTTCTAGACAGTCTTATGGATTCCAGGTGATTCTTGAACTTGCTATGTACTACTGAACTTCTGATTACACTGAACTTCTGATCTTCCTGTCTCCAGCTCCTGAGTGTTAGGTACCACCCCACCTGCTTTCTATGGTGCTGGGGATGGAGCCCCAGGCTTAATGCATGCTAGATGAATACTTTGCTGTGGAATCATTCCTGTTCTCATAAAGTTTACAGAGCAATGTCCCCATATCCTGTAGATGCTGGCTCTTGTCATGGTTACCTTTTCCCTCATTTGAAAGGTGGAATTTACAGTTAGACTGGACCCACTTGCCATTCAGGCTTTGGATATATATGAAGGGGCTATCTGCTGATTTATTATTCTTTTAATTTAGTGTTTATTTATAAAGGACCTGCCCCAACCTTTACCCCAGGGTACTCTTGAAGAGAGAGGGATAAGAGATTTAGATAGAAGGATAGAGGGGAGAGAAAAAGACAGAAACACAGGATAGCCTCGGGAGGGCCTGCATTCTTATCCACTGGCCCAGAACTTTATTCAAAAGGGCTTTTTATAACAATGCCAAGGAACAAGGCAAAAGACCTCCCCTCTTGCTAGATACAACCAAGTGTAGACCCTTCCAAACACCTGGTACCCAGGCCCGTGGTCCAGTCATCCTCTTATGCCGCCCTGCTGGTAAAGCAAGCTCAGACCTCACTAGGAAACCTCTGTGGACTCCCACACTTCTCCTCTAGCTCCTCTCAGATCCTCCCCACCTACCCAACTTCATGCTATTTCTTCTTTCTCTAAAATGAAAAACAAAAACAAAAGCAAAAAACAACAGTCAAACAAAAAACCAGTAAGACAAAATTCCAAAACAGAACAAAATAAAAAGCCCATTAAAAACCAACAAACAAAACAAAACATGGACTTCATTTCGTGTTGCCGACTACTGGCCACAGGGCCTTTTCTAAAGTATAGTTGCTATATCCAGTGATGCTCCATTGAAGAAAACTGAGTCTTCTCTGTCAGCAAGTACCATTGCAGACAGTTTCCTTGTTAGAGGTGGGATCACGTGTCCACTTTCCTCTTTCAGTGCCGGGATTTTATCTAGTTGAATCTGTGAGGGTCCTGTGCATGATACCAGTCTTTGTGAGTTTATGGGTGCATCAGTCCTGTTGTGTCTGGAAGACACTGTTTCTTTGGAGTCATCCATCACCTCCAGCTCTTGCAATTTTTTTTGCCTCCTCTTCTGCATAGATTCCTGAGCCTTGAAGGGAAGAGCTTGATAAAAACATATCACTTAGGACTGGGTGCTCTGTAAAGTCTCATTCTCTGCCATTGTTCAGTTGTAGGACTCTGTGGTAATTACCCTCTACTGCAAGAAGCTTCTCTGATATGGGCCAAGTGATGCTCTTATCTATGGGTATAGCATTATGTCACTAGGAGGCATTTTATTACTGTGTCCCTTTAAGCAGAATAATTGTAGTAGGGTTTCACCTATATAAGGTGATTTTGTCTTTATACTCTAGCCTCAGCAGAACGGGATCTCTCCACGCATGTTCAAGGCCTTTGTCAGCAAGAGCCACCCAGAATTCTCCTCTAACAGACAGCAAGATGCCCAGGAGTTTTTCTTGCATTTGGTCAATCTAGTGGAGGTAAGTCTTGAGAATCCTGCGGGGTGGTCAGAAGTGCACCAGCTGCTCTGGTGACAGCTTCACCAAATGTCCCTTCTCTTCCCATCAGTCACTCACTGGGCCTCTTGCTGTCTCTGCCATGTACACTTGATGTGGCTGCCTCTCCCATTTGGGTTCCAGATGCTGCTGGCTCTGTGTGGCTTTCATGCTGTGCCTGTTATGGGTGTGATGGTCTCTGGACAGAGCCCCCTGAGAGCCTCTCCAGGTATATGATATCCAGCTACCTCAAGTGATCACACTTCCTGTGCAGCTTGTAGAAGCCATGAAGAATTTACCTTAAAACAAAGCAGCAGCCTTTCCCCCTTGATTATGAAAGTATTCTTTATAGTAAAGGGAGAAAACTCAGGAGAAAATCAGAACTGCCACAGTAGCAATGGCTGCAGTTAACACTTAGCAGCTAATCCTTCAGCCATTTCCCAATCAGGTGTGAATTCTGTTTGTGAGTAGTGTTTTTTCTTAACCTGTTGGAAGAATGTTGCCATATCCTTGTGTATCCTAATATAGCAGTTTCTTTATGCATACATAGTTTACATTAAATGCATTTGAAATTGTATCAAACATACCTTGGTTTTCTCAGGACAGTCTTTTTTCCTCTTTCTATTATTTCATTAACCTATTTCCCTTCCTTCTTCTAATTCCACCCATACTCATCTGTCTATGATTTTAATGACTGTGTAATATTACTCACAGGTGAATCTGAATTTATTTACCCAACCCCTCATTTTGGGACACAATATGAATCACAATGTCTTAGTCTTGTTGACTGTGATGTCCAGAAAAAATGCTATGTAAAGCAAGATCTTGATGGCAGAATCAGAGCTGACATTGTGCTATTTTTCATCCGTGGCTTCATTCCCCTGCATCTGCTAACCTGGTGTTATCTGACCTTCAGAGGAATCGAATTGGCTCAGAAAACCCAAGTGATGTCTTCCGGTTTCTGGTGGAGGAACGCATTCAGTGTTGTCAGACCCGAAAGGTCCGCTACACAGAGCGGGTGGACTATCTGATGCAGCTACCTGTGGCCATGGAGGCAGCAACCAACAAAGGTAACGGTCCCCAAAGAGAAAAGAGCCCTGAGACAAGGAGCCCAGTCACTGGGATGGGCTGTGTTTGGGTTGTACGGCCCTTCTCATGTTTTTCCAAGTCCCCGTGTGACTTGTCTGTGGAGGATGCTAAATGTATCATGGCAGGCTTGGTGGAGGAGTTATGGACAGGGGCTACTTTAGAGCCCAGAAAATGTGACTCATGGTTAGGCTGCAGTTGGCACAATTGTGTTGCTTGTGGTGATGTGGGTAGGATGCTCTCCTGTCATTGATGATATGCTGTGGTATAAACTTTGATGAAAATGCTTCTTTGGGAGTTAGAAGTGGAATCAGAAATCTTGGGAAGCAACCATGCTTTCTGTCTGGGTCTTTAAGGCAGGCCTCCTGGGAGGTAATTTGTGGCCGGGCACGCTGTAGCAAGGAGGCCCAATAGAAGAACGTCTGGACTTTGAAATTCAGGAGAGGTGCCACCATGGCTTTTAGGGCATGGCTTCTTCTCATGCCATCAGTACAATCTGATTCTTCCAGGTAGAAGGGATGAACAGTATCCCTTAGAGTTCAGGTCTTAGAGAAGAAAAGGGCAAGATGGCTGTTGCTCTTTTTGGGGTACTTGCCATCCTTGTAAAAACTCCTCTCTGAGTGCCTATTGCTACTCTTTGGGGGAGTTAATTTACTGTGATTTTGGGAAGTGATGACTCTGATGATTGAAGATGAAATTATTTCCATTGTCTATGTATGCATACAGCTTTGGACTACATTTAGATTCTTGCCCATCATCCAAGGTACGGAAGGCTGTAGTGCAGTTTGTTGCCTTTTGAGAGTGAGGGCTATCTTAGTTAATTTTCCTGTTGTCATAAAGTGCCTGACAAAAACTGCTGAAAAAAAAGAAGGGGTAAGGGAGAGAGAGTTTACTTTGTGCCAAAGGTACAGAATATAGTCCATCATGATAGGAAAGTCATGTTGATGGGAGCCAGTTACATTACGTTTTCCAGCCAGGAAGCAGAGGGAGATGAAAGCTCATGGTCAGCTTGCTTTCTTCTTATGCACTCAGGACACTGATGGTGCTACTCATTTTTAGGGTGGATCTTCTCACTCAATGAGCCTACCCAAGATAATCCCTCACAGGCACGGTCAGGGGCTAAACTAATCTAGATAATCCCTGACAACTGTGCCTGAAGGCTTTACCTCCTAGATGATGGGAACGCCTGCCAAGTTGACAATCAGTCTGAGCCATTAGAAGGAACAATTAATTAGTTTTACTTGCTCACCTCAGGCTTAATGTTCTGTTCAGTTCTGTCAGCCTTGGTGACAAAGAGTGTTTTCAAAAATTAATGTAGTTTTGAGAGTGTCAATGCAGAGGGAATGCACACGATGTATAGGAAGTTGTGTATGTGTTCAAGGATGGTGAGGCAGAGGGACCTTCTTAAATGCAAAATGAGGAGGGTTGCATAAGTTGGTGGCATACAGGAATCCCGGGCTATAGGATTAATAGGCTCAGCAGCATTCAGGCCAAGCGGGTGTCATTGCAGAAGAAGCAGCTTCCATGCAAGACTGTGATCGGATCCTCTTGTGATAGTTCTTATTGCCAGGTAGAAGCACAAGACACCTCCCCGTACCCCCCCTCCACCCCCGCTTAACGCTTACTTTGCTTATTTAGTTGGTAGACCTTGTCAGAATGAATCAGAATGAATGGCAGAATTTGGATTTTGATAGCTTTCACAGTCCTGTGATCTCTAATTCGCTGTACTATATGAGTGGTAATCTTTTTTAAGAAAAGAGATTTACTTAACATTTGTATGCTAGATAGAAGTATTACATTGCAAGCTGACTGTGGACAGAAAAGGGGCTTTAAAAGCTTTCTGGGGGGCTTTTAGGAAGTAAGTGTGTGCACAAGCCAATCTATTAGGAGGGACTATTTGTTGTTATTGTTGCTATTGTGAAATAATCAACCGGAAATGACATTCCAAGTACCTGTGATGTTCTAACTGCAGTTAGTGTCAAAATGGGATCAGATCTCTGGCTCCGAAAGGGCTCCCAGCACACTCATTTCTTTCCTTGTAGTATTTGTCTGATCACTTTATAAGTAGAGATTGCCTGAGAGGCCTCCGGCCAGTGGATTGGATGCTGTTTCATCAGTGTTGGTTGTACTTCTGGGGTGGTGCTGGTGGATAAGGGCAAACTTAGACACATACTCCCCATGCCCGCATGCCATTGTGGATCCCATGACCACAGTCACAGTTGCTAGAGGAACCAAATCAGAAAGCACGAGACACCGACTCTGGCCATTGTCTGGAGCTCAGCGACAGTCCTGATGTCATCTCCTTTCCTTGGTCATGTTATTTTCCGGACAACTTGAAGTTGGCAGCAGGGACTTTCTTTTTCTTCCTCTCCCTCTCACCCCACCCCCACCCCCTCTCCTCCGCTGCCTCCAAACACCTGATCATTTGAAAAATCTGACCCCTTGTGTTGTGAAGCGGGGTGAGAGAGGCCTTGGTGGATTTGAGCCAAAGATACACGCCATGCGGGCGGGGGACAAGGGGGCACAGCGGAAAGTTACTCACACCATGCATCCACATGGAAAGTTTTATTATTAAAGGGGAAAGGGAGAAGGGAAGGGAGGGGGAGAAGGGGAAAGAGAGAGAGAGAGAGAGAGAGAGAGAGAGAGAGAGAGAGAGAGAGAGAGAGAGAGAGAAAGCATGGAGGTACACACCCCATGGAGACAGAGAGAGAGAAAAGAGAGGAGGAGGGATTTTCTTCCTCTTAAAGGGAACTTTATGTAAGATGACATCAAGATGCTGGGCGGGTCCCCAAGGGGCAGTTCAGAATGCTAGCGCCTTACATCGATTTTACATCTCCCTTGGGCCTTGTCTGTGTTTGTTGACCAAGACTTTAAGTGTCTAGGCTTGTCAGTGATTGATTAGTTTTGATCTTCAGCCTCAGTTTCTTCTTCAGGGGAGTGAAGGGCCTGGGGAGGAGAGCCCTTGACTCCCTCACAGCTGCAGAACTCTCTAGGGTGAAGTATGAAGAGCAGCACTTGGGTCACTGCAGGCTGGGAAAACGGAACAGCAGGTCCCCGCATCGTTGATGTCCCATGCATGATCTGATCTGGACTCAGTTCCCTCTTGTTCGTCTCAAAATGAAATAGCAAAAACAAGAATAAAAAAATAGAAGTAATAGCAGTGGTGGCACATGCCTTTAATCCCAACACTGGGGAGGTAGAGGCAGGCAGATCTCTGTGAGTTCAAGGCTAGCCTGGTCTACAGAGTGAGTTCCAGGACAGCCAGGGCTATACAGAGAAATTCTGTCTCAAAACAAAACAAACAAGCAAACACACAAAAAATAGAAGTAAAGGGTGTTTCTGAGTCTACACAGTCTGTCAGGCTTGGGAAGGAGCTTTGGGCAGGCTTCTCCAGAACAGACAGACAGGCAGCAGCCCTGACCTACGAGGAGACATACCACTCAAGAGGAAGAGAAGCATGACTGCAGGTTCCTTCCTGTTCCTCAGATGAGCTGATCGCCTATGAACTGATGAGAAGGGAAGCAGAAGCAAACCGAAGACCCCTTCCTGAGCTGGTGCGAGCCAAGATACCATTCAGTGCCTGCCTTCAGGCCTTTGCTGAACCAGACAATGTGGACGACTTCTGGAGCAGTGCCCTGCAGGCCAAGTCTGCAGGGGTGAAGTGAGTAAGGCCTTCCTTAATGGGGAAAGATGAGCCTCCTGAGGTGGGGGCTGGTACAGGGGAGGGGGCTGGGTGTTCTGAGAGTCCATGAATGTTGTTCATGAGAGTGGGATGGAGGATGAAATACTGTCACTCACATCACTGGATGAGCCTGACCAATAAGACAGTCCTATGATTTGCTGGGTGGGGGAGGGTCCACTTTTTTTTTTTAAAGCAAAATTGTGGTTTATTCTGCAGCTAAAATTTGCCTTTTTTTTTTTTTCCTCTTCCCATGAGAGTAGGGTTGAGAAACACCCTTACTCCCACATGGCAAGAATGATAACTGGTTAAAGACATCCCAAAACTACTCATGACAGCCTTCAATATGTAAACATCACTGCATTATGTTGTAATTTTATAGTTAAGTTTTAGCATAGGCCTTGGTTGATTGTGTCCCTCCCGGGGAAGTCTTGGGCATGGTAGATAGGCATGAGCATTTGCATGGTGAACTGCTTACCACCAAATCAGGAGATACCTCATATTCATATTGTGACTGTCAGGTACATGCAATTTTTTCCTCCACTTAATCATTTGATACAGTCAGTCCTTGCTGACACTTCGTATTGCCACTTGAGTTGGGGCAAGAGTGCTGTAGAGACATAGAATAAAGAGCTGCTGAAAACTGTGTCCATTCAGTTCTCCTTCGATTTACCTTTTAATTGAGAAGTCTGCTTTCTCCTTCTCTATACCCCCATCCACGCTGGAGATTGAACCCAGGATCTCATAGATGCTAAACAAACTTGCTATCAGTCGGATGTATTCTTAGCTCATGGGAGCTTGTCTCTGGAATTTTACTACTTTGGAATGTTCCTCAGCCTCCTCTTGAAAAGTGAGACTGAGGTGTGAGTTGACTGAGTAAAGGATGCAGGGCTGTGGGGGCCTGCTTTTTTTTTTTTTCCTGCAGCCTGATTGGTAGGCAGGCCTGCCATCAATTGCTGTCTACAGAACCCCTGGGATCCTGCTTTTTATATTAGACTTCACATGCCAGAAACGGGGAAACAAAACACTTTATTTCAAACACTCAAGGTTAGAGATGCATCTCAGTGGTAGAGTGCCTGCTTAGTGGGTGTGAGGCCCTGGGTTTGATTCCCAGCACTACAGAAAACAAAACAAAACAAAACAACCACCACTCCAAAAGCCAAGTCTTCACACACTTCACAGCAAAACCAAAGACACGAAAAGAACAAAACAAAGCAAAATAAAACAAAACCCGTCAAAAGCCCCATTTTAAATCAAAGTAAGTTTGAAAAGGTCCAATGCAGATGAGGATTGGTAGCCTTTCATTCTGTTATCAGCTGTCTATCCTTGGATAAGTGTTGTTGCAGGGACTTCTGAGGTGTGTGTGTGTGTGTGTGTGTGTGTGTGTGTGTGTGTGTGTGTGTGTGCAAGCATGTGCAGTGCATACTGGTACACACTTACCTCAGTGTGTATGTGGAAGTCAGAGGACAGTCTTCTCCCACTTTTCCCTGCTTCAACACATGGCCTCTCTTTTTATTGTCACTGCATATATCAGCCATGCTGCAGCAGGCCTGCAAGCTGCCAGGGATTCTATGTCTCACCTCACTGTAGGAGCACTGGGACGCTTGAGTGTATCAGTGCCTGGCACTACATGGTTTGTGGGTATCTGAACCCAGGACCCCAAACCTATTGGGCTTTATCCAAAGAGCCATCTCCTCAGCCTGCATATACTTTTTTCTATGTGTGAAAAGAATTAGTGTTGTATAACAATTGTTATTATTGGAAGAAACAGTCCTTGTGGGAAAGAAAAGGACTAGAGCTACTAAAATCCCCACCATTTACTATTTACTGAGGAGCTGGCAATGAACTTGCCGTCAGCTGTTTCTTTATTATTATTTTTGTTGTGTTTTGAGATAGGGTCTTGCTGTCGGCCAACCTCCTACCCACCAGTTATCATATGTAATATGCTCTTAGTGGTGGGAGGTAGGTTCCTTTAGTCTCTCACTTTATAGATGGGGCAATGGAAGAAGCAGCAGTTGGCCAGTGAGTGGCATGCTTAGGAGATAGAACTGGTCTGACTGCGCTCAGGGATGGCACTCCTACTTAACCCAGGCTTGTCTCTGTTACCCACCATATTATGCTCATGTCCATATGTAGCCATGCTTAGTGTTCCTTATTATACTCTATAATGTTTCAAATGATGATTTTGGCATTTGGCAAATCCAGCTAGTGAACTTCTGGAAATCCTTTATTTTTAATTTATCTTTTAGCAATGTAGGCTGTGACTCAACTGACATTTTGTTAATGTAAGGTCTTGAACTTTGCTTTTGTTAGACCCAGAGCCTGAAAAGCCAGAAAAAGGCAAAAGGTGTCCTTGGTGGCCAGGTGTGGTAGTGCATGCCTGTGATCCTAGAACTTGGAAAACTGAGGCAGGAGGATGATGAGTTTTCATGGGTAGCCTAGACAACAGAGAGAGAGAGAGAAAGAGAGAGAGAGAGAGAGAGAGAGAGAGAGAGAGAGAGAGAGAGAGAGAGATATCAGGGTCAGTTTAGACTACATACACACCTCTGTGTTACAAAACAAAAAACAAAACAAAGAGTGGGTTGATCTTGGTGGGTCTGTAGGTCAGGATGGGCCAGACATAATGATCCTTTAAATCAAGTGTTCTCAACCTGTGAGTCTTGACCTCTTTGGGAGGTTGAACCACCCTTTCACAGGGGTCACCTGAGACTATTGGAAAATGCAGAGATTTATGTTGTGATTCATAATAGTTGCAAAATTGCAGTTATAAAGTACAACGAAAAAAATTTTATATTTGCAAGTCACCACAACATGAGGAACTATATTAAAGGGTGCAGGCATTAGGAAGGTGGAGAAGCACTGGTGTAAATGATCCTAGCAGACTGTGTCTGGGAAGACTGTTACTGTCTGGAACATCTGCAGAGGGCTGGACAAGACTCACCTCCTGTCCTTGAGCCGATGTGGCTGTGGAGGGATTTCCATTTCTTCTTTGTCATTTGGGAGAGAGGAGCATAGTGTAGACTCTAGAGCAGACTCTCCAGGTCAGCTGCGATGTGACCTTGGCCAAATGACCCTCCTCCCAGGGCCCTGTTTCCTATCTGTAAAGCAGGGATAACAGGAGTATTTATAGAACTGAGGTAGTCCAAGGGAGCTGAGCAGAGCAAAGTGCTTTGCATGATACCTGTCAGTAGCTGTAGGATGCGTGGTGTCCTTATTGTCACTATTATGATCTTCCAAGTGAGTGAGTGCGTGTGTGCGTGTGCGTGTGCGTGTGCGTGTGCGTGTGTGTGTGTGTGTGTGTGTGTGTGTGTGTGTGTGTGTTTGCCTTGGATCTTGTGGTCTGCATGTGGTTGACTAGATATCATATTTTGGCACATTTAGTAGAAAGGGACTAGTACTCTGTTCTACTTAGCAGGTTTTTTATAATGCCATAGTAGCAGGTGAATTTATTGGTTTTGATAAACCGGAGGTCTTGGCTTCACTTAAGTGAGAATGATGTTTATTGAGGCTTCTCAGACAACCAGAGAACCTGGTTGCAGGGACTATACATTTCTTCCAAGAGCCAGGACAATCCTAGATCAGTTCCTTGGCAAGACCAAGCTCTTGCAGCTGCCTCGCATTACGGCCTGTCCCTTCTACCACCCTTGTGATGGCGGGTTTGAGACACAGCCGGCTATGTGGCCTGTCTGCGGGGAATACAGGCCAGTGACGGGCCGATTCAGGGTCCAAGACCTCAGGACTGACAGTTCACTTCAGTCCTAGTGTGTCTAGTGTGTCAAGAGGTTCTCACTAGTGTGAGCACTGCACAACGCTGGCAGCAGATACACGAGTGAGTTCATTTCTAGATGTAGAAAAAGCCTTAGAAGGCCAGTGATTTCCCCAGATTTGGAGTGAATCAAGGAGCCTACTGAAGACCCAAGCTCTACCTTTCTCTTTGCTCCTGGTCAGCCCTGTGCTGTGTCCACTGTTGTACAGTAGAGGGCAGTAAAACACTGACATTTGCTTTGTGCATTCTGGGAAAAGATGTATTCCAAATAGAAGGCTCTAATTCAAAAAGTGGGGTTTAGAGGAGGTAGCTCAGAATCTTTTATTTTAAAATGGGCCCATTGTACTGTCCATGGCTCATTTTCTGTCCTTGATTTTAGTTAAAAGGCTGAGAAATGATGTGGCTCATTGTTTGTTTGCATAGACAACCAAATAGAACTGGATGCTGGAAATGATTGGTGACTGAATGAGCAGGAACAAAGGCACGGATTTCATGTACAACAGAATAGTCAGCCTGTGCATAGAAGTGGTAAACCAAGCCCGGGATGTTTTGTCTTTCCGTTTGAAGTGAACTCAGAGTTAACGTATTCATTTTAAAATGTAAGGTTTAGGAAGCTCGAGGGATGCTTCAGCAGTTAAGAGAACTCGCTGCTATTGCAGAGGACCAGGGTTTGGTTCCCAGGACCCACGGGGTGGCTTATAACCACCTTTAGCTCCAGTTCCAGAGGACATGACCCCATTTTCTTGCTTCTGCAAAGACCAGGCACAAATGTGGTGAATATACACACATGCGGGCAAATACTCATACACATAAACTAAAATCTTCTCAAAAGGAAGGCTTAGATTTAGATAGTTTAGATAATTACTCTGAAATGGAGCTGTCTGTAGGACTCATGCTACTAGGGATTCAGGTATTTGAAGAGACTCTGTAAGGTCAGCCTAAACCCAATTTTGGTAAGTCTCCCCTGCGCCAGCCATTGCCGGGAGGCAATCATTCTAGGCTGCAGTGAAGCCAGGCTTCTGTGAATCACTTTGAGAACGTCACAGACACGGTGCATGCTTGACTGGAACACCTACAAGTGCATGCATGGAAACCCTGGAAGATGCTGGGAAACCAAATGACGTAAAAGCACTTTTCAGAACGTCGCAGCCAAGCAGCTGCTGCGAAGCGGCCACACGCCATGCTCGCTATGTCCTCCATTCGGTGTTTTCTTTTGTGGAGAGGCCAGGAGGGTGGAGCGAGTGTGCGAGTAGCTGTGCACTTGACTGTGGTCCAGTTCCTCCTCACAGGGCAGTCCTGGGCATTGCCGGGCGCCGCAGACAAAGCTGCCTGTGTGCCTAGACTGCGTTCGCCTTTCCTTCTGCCTTGTTTGATTGATCTCCTCCCCTTGTGTTTCCCAGAACATCTCGCTTTGCCTCATTCCCCGAATACTTGGTAGTGCAGATAAAGAAGTTCACTTTTGGTCTTGACTGGGTTCCCAGAAAATTTGGTAGGTATCCTTTGCATGCTTTTGTTTAAACTATAGAGTGAGCCCCTTAACAAGACATGGCATGTGGAAGAGGCTGTGGGAACATCTGCCCCCATCATGCCCAACCCACTGCTTCTCTGTTAACTCCTGCCTTTCTCTGGACTCACAGCCTATGACAAACACCAACAATAAGAAATGCCGTAGGCTAACCACCCCTTCACTACTGAGCCCTGGAAGGACCAGGCTTTAAGAGGGAAAGTGCAGTCCTCACGATGGCACATCCCAGATGTTACTGTGCATAGTTATCACTTGGGATCCTTAGAAAATGCAGATGCTAATTGGCAGATGCAGGGTGGGCTGAGAGACTGTGTTCCGAATCCACCCCACTTTTCTCTGGACTCACAGCCTTGGGTTGGCATTGCTAGTCTAGACACCACCCTTGGAGTAGTAGGTAGCTGGAGGTATACGCTCCTCTTAGCAGCCTTCCCCTGCCTCTGAGACACAGTAGGTGCTGCTGACATTCATCTAAATCATACAAATTTTACTAACAGTCATGTGGAAACAGTTGCTTTGCACAGTTGAAAGAAGGACATAGTTTGGCCTTCACTGGACTTTCTTCTCACCCATGTGCAAGGCGCTTGGTCATTGTGGAAGGCTTATTTTCCAGACAAGGCATAAAGGCCATTTTCTCCACTACCGGGGTTGAATCTGATGGGTCTTAATGGCTCCAGAATGTGGAAAAATGTATATTTTGCCCTGTATAGCTTCTCAAGCAAGGACTTCAAACTGTTTGCCAGTCTCTTACAGATTTGTGTTTGAGCACTTCTGTAAGAAGCATTGCAAGTCTTCAGAGTCATCCAGATCCTGGTGGAAGGGCACAGGGAGCGAGGAGGAAAACCAGTCAGGGTGATTTTCTAGGGAGCCTGGTGCTGGTGGGCACACAGTGACTGTTTGCTCATCCTTTGTGCTGGGCTAGTCCCGGTGTTCAGGAGACCCTTGACTTTCTTGCTGGAAGAGTTTAGGGAGCAGAGAAGGTCTGAGGGCAGGGCGCTAACCACTCTGTTCTCTACTGGCTTCTGGGAGGGACTCGATACTTGAAATAGGAAACTTTGGGCTGGTTTGCACAGTCTTTCTTTCTTTCTATCTTTCTTTCTTTCTTTCTTTCTTTCTTTCTTTCTTTCTTTCTTTCTTTCTTTCTTTCTTTCTTTCTTTCTTTCTTTCTTTCTTTCTTCCTTTCTTCCTTTCTCTCTTTCTCTCTCTCTCTTTCTCTCTCTCTCTCTCTCTCTCTCTCTCTCTCTCTCTCTCTCCCTCCCTCCCTCCCTCCCTTCCTTCCTTCCTTCCTTCCTTCCTTCTTTTTTTTTGTTCTTGGAATTTTTGTGAAGGAACAAAAATGAAATCAGATTTTATTGACTGAGTTTAAAGAAGTCTCAGGGAAGGCCTGGGCTTTTCTCTTGAGGAACAGTTATATCAATTTGGTGAGTCTTACCTTGTGTTTAGATTTACTGGTCCTTAAAATTTAACTTTTCAAACTTAGCTTTTGTTCTTGGGTTATTGTTTCATTTATACTTATTTATTCAGTTTGTTTTTTGAGACAGGATCTCATGTAGTCCAGGATGGCCATGAATTTACTGTGTAGATGAGGCTAGCCTTGAACTTCTGATCTTTCTGCTTCCATGTCCCAAGTTCTGTGTTTACAGGCATGTGCTACCATGCCCAGCCTGCTTTGTTGTCTTAAGTAGGGTTTACATATCTGGCATCATTTGGAGGCAGTTATTCTTCAGGCCTGAAGGACATAACCCTGACTTGCTCAAATGGAAGCTTTAAAAGCCAAATAGCAGCTGAGCCAAGAGGGTTTTATTTTCCTCCCAGAGCACCAGGGGTGAGCACTTAAGATTTAGTCAAGTTCTTTTGAGCTTTATAATTTATAACTTAGAATCATCATAGTATCTGTCACGATTTGAAAAAAGTATAAACAAGGAGTTTTCAAACTTAAATGTGAACCAAGGTCAGGGAAGCAACATGTAGGAAAGAAGAGCTGCTGGGTAGAGGGGTGCACAGCCTATTCTCCTGACGGGCATACACAGCCTGCTCTCCTGACGGGCATACACAGCCTGCTCTCCTGACGGGCATACACAGCCTGCTCTCCTGGTGGGCTCCACCGTGTGTAATCGCATAGGTCAGAGAGGCATCCTCTCCCATATGCATGATGTGCACGTTTGGGGCCGTCCAGAGCAGTGGGGTCAGTGTGAAGTGGTCACAGAGGCCACCACTGTCCACAATGGAAGCTAAAGGGAGGCTCAGGCAGTTAACACAGGAGAATGTGCTGCAGCTTCATGGTTTTAGAAATCCAGAAGTCTAAATTTTAAAATTGAATCTTGCCCATATTTTAAAAATGCAAAATGGCATGTGTCCAGATAGCCTAGCTGCAAGTCTGTGACCTCTGGCTTATCTGACTGTTGCTGTCCAGTGTGACACCTATGTCCCACCACTCTCTGCCCTTGTCCTGAGCCCTCCATTAATCTCTTATGTGGCTTGACAAATCTGCTAAGTCCCTTAGTTTGTCTAGATACATGCAAGTAGTGAACACAAGCGGATTTATAATGAGCTGACTGTGGGCTCTGGAGTGTCCAGTGAATATAATCCTTTGTTTTGCAGATGTTTCTATTGATATGCCAGACCTACTAGATATCAGCCATCTCAGAGCCAGGGGCTTACAGCCAGGAGAAGAGGAACTTCCAGACATCAGTCCCCCTATAGTCATTCCTGATGACTCCAAAGGTACTGTCTCCTACTGGAAGGATATTCTCTCCCTACCACCCTCCTCCAGCCAGGAACAGCCACTGTTCCACCATTAATCTGCTTCTTGTGAGGTCATCAACCTAGACACATAGGAATGAAGCATGGCTGCCACTCTACACTTGAAACACATACACTAGGAGTCATTGATTTGGGTCCTGGTGGCAGGTGGCTCCTGACAGGGCTTCCAGACTGACAGTGGTGAGCAACAGGGAACCAGGGTGGTTTTTCACACGGCTCCTACCAATAATGTTCAGGCTGGAACCCTTGATTTGCAAGTAGACAGTGTTCTTAGAAATAAATGCAGGGAAATCATTTCGCTCACCGAGATGTCAGAACCTCTGTTTTATTTGTGTCTAAGTGCCCGAAGGCTGCTGTTTCCCCTCATTACTGTAATGAACTATGTTTTACAGGTGGTATGTGGTGGGTAAGCAGGAGTGAGAGGGTCTGAGGATGTCCTGGACTGATGCAGTTTCTTTTTTCTAAAACTATTGGCCGGGGCTAGCTCTCATTTATGACCTGTCCCTTCATTTCCAGATCGCCTGATGAACCAGTTGATAGACCGTAGGTATCTTTAAAAATGTTTTTGGTGTCTTACATTTGTTGTTAGTGTGACATGTTTTAAAATTTGTTTATTTTTATTTTATGCATAGGAGTGTCTTGCCTGCATGCATGTCTGTGTACCATGTGAATGCCTGATGCCCACAGAGGCCAGAAGAGGGTGTCAGATTCCCTGGAATTAGAGTTAGAGAGGGTTGTGAACCCCCATGTGAGCACTGGGAACAGAACCTGGGCCCTCTGGAAGAGCAGTAAGTGCTCTTAACTCCTGAGCCATCTCTCCAGCCCTCTAGTGTGATAAATTTTTCTGTGGTAGTTCAGCAAAGTAGTATTCTGTGCTGGATATATGCAGTTGTTGGAAGGGTCTGTAAGTTGAGTGAGCAACAGATGGAGACCAATGGCTTACTGCTTATGTGGCCCTTATGGCTCAGGAGGGTGAGTGTAGGCTTGAGAGCCAGCAGCCCTGTGGGGGAACCTTGGCTTTGCTGCTGAGGACTGTGTGGCCTGGAAATATTTACTTCCTACTCTATATACCTCAGCTACCTCATTTGTAAACTGAGGTAATAATATCATTTCTTATCATGAATAGCTCAATAGTTAGATGGTCTATAAAGAAGTCAAATTAAGACCCAATAAAATGGACCTGTCTTCAGGGAGTCTGTAGATAAGGGGTCAAAGAGCAGTGGAGGCGGGCAGAAGTGGAAAGTTCGGTTTTTCATGGTGGGATATCCTGCTGTGCTCTGCAGCCTCAGACATCGATGAATCCTCTGTGATGCAGCTGGCAGAGATGGGCTTCCCTTTGGAAGCCTGCCGGAAGGCTGTGTACTTCACTGGAAACACTGGAGCTGAGGTGGCCTTCAACTGGATTATCGTGCACATGGAGGAACCTGGTAGGTGGCAGTGTGGGAGCACTTTGGAGTTCATGTCCCCAAGGATGTGTCCCTAAAGATGGGTTTTCAGATTGGGCAAAGTCACAGACTTAATCTTTTAAACAGCAATTTTCTTGGACTAGCTTCCTCCTTTAAGGTGTCCACACTTGGTTGATCAAAAGATCATTAGAAAGGTGTAGTGTCTGTTTCAAGCTTGGAATAGAAAACTGAAGAAATGGAGGCCCTGTTCTTAGCTTCTTGTTTTATCTACTTTCTGAAGATGTCATTCACATATCTACCCATCAGAAGTGTACATTCACAAGGATTTTAGTCACTTCACAATTAAGCAACTGTCTAATTCTAGAATATTTTTGTATACTCAAAAGAAATACTGTAGATAGGAGCCATCTGTTGTAGTTTGAATGTAATTGGTCCCCATAATCTCATAGGGAGTGGCATTATTAGGAGGTGTAGCTTTGTTGGAATGGGTATGACCATGCTGGAGGACATGTGTCACTGTGGAGGTGGGCTTTGAGGTTTATTGTGCTCAGGAAACTGCCCAGTGTCTCAGTTGACTTCCTGTTGCCTGTATGATATAGCACTCTCAGCTCCAGCACCATGTCTGCCTGCATGCCTCCATGTCCCACCATGATGATAATGGAGTGAATCTCTGAAACTATAAGCAAGCCACCCTAATTAAATGTTTTCTTTAGAAGAGTTGCCGTGGTCATGGTGACTCTTCACAGCAATAGAAACCCTGACTAGGACACCATCTCTCCCGTTCTTGCTCTCTCTAGTACCTAACGTTCACTAACCTACTCCCTGGGTGTCCTACAATTGTTATGAATTTGCCTATATTTGACAATTCATATACATGGAGTTGTACAGCATGAGGCCTTTTGTGTCAGGTTTCCATCACTTTTCATTGTGTATTTAGGGGTCTTACACTATCGCGTGAACAGCACTTTTTTTTTTATGGCTGTATGCGTTGCATTCCACTGTACTGCTGTACCATGGTTTATTTGTGCTTTCACCTTAGAGTGAGAGTCAGTTGGATTGTTTCTACTTTTTGGCGTTTATTAATGCTGCTGTAGACAGAAACTTCTTTGCATATGTGTATTTATAATTTTTTTCTCTTGAGCAGAATTGATGTCGTTCTATGCCTAAGTTTTTAAAAACTGTCAAACAATTTTACACAGTGGCTGAACCATTGCACACTCTCACCCATGCCGAATGAGGGATCCAGATTCTCTGAATTCCCACTGTTAGCGATTTTGTTATAGTGGTTCCTGGGTGGACCCTGGTATGTCACTGTGATTTCACGAGGTAATTTCCCTATGACTGATAACACTGGGGGTATAATTAGTTTTTTGTCTTTTTATTATTAAGTTCTAAGAGTTCCTTTTAAATTCTAGATACAGGTTTCCTCTCAGATACATAATTTGCAGAGATATTTTCCTGTTCTGCTGTGTCTTTCCTTCTTTAGTGATGTCTTTTGAGTAGACACTTTTTAAATTTTGATGAGGTGTGGTACAGCTACCTTTTTGTTTTATGAATTATACTTTTTGTGTTGTATACAAGACATTCTTGCTTAACCCAGAGTCACAAAGACTGACTCCCGTGTTTTCTCATTTAATTAAAAAAATTAAAATTAATACCCTTAGTCCTGTGTTTAAGACAATGATTCACCTTGAGTTGACTTTGTGTGTTGCATGAGGAGGGACATCTGTCTTTATTATGGTTTGTATGCAGACAGCTAGTTGTCCTGCACCATTTGTTAAAAAGGCCGTCTTTTCCTGCTGAAAAGTCTGCTTGGAAATTACCTGATCTTTGACCTTTCTGACCTCCCAATTCTGTTAAATTGACTTGTATGTCTAGCCTTAGATCTGGTTCTAGGATCCCTTGATTATACAATTCTATATATTTTTCCACTTTACACCTACAATGTTTGTTTTCAAGACAAAAACCCAGAAAAATTTTAGTACAGTTATTTTCCTCAGATTTTGCTGAACCACTGGCGATACCTGGGTATGGAGGGGCTGGAGCCTCTGTCTTTGGTGCTACTGGACTGGACAACCAACCTCCTGAGGAAAGCGTAGCTATCATCACCTCCATGGGATTTCAGCGCAATCAGGCAGTGCAAGCCCTCCGAGCAACGGTGAGCACTGGGGACTGTGTGTTAGGGAATTCTGCCCTTCCTGGAGGTGGTTTCAGTTTGGTCCCTGGCAACAGAGACCTCCCAGTGTCCTTTGGTCATTTGGAGTCATCTTTGTCTGACTGTGTCCCATCATACTTTGTGAAGATTGATTTACATGTAGTACACTCAAAGCTAAACTGAATGCATGAGCAACTCGTGGTGAGCTCAGGTATGAGGGGATATGGAGCTGGGGCAATATGATCAGGATCTTGAACGTTCCTTGGTGGGGCTCACAGGTCTGTTTGGAGTTTGCCAGCTTCAGAGCAAAGTGGGTGCCAAGGTTCTGGCTTGGTAAGAAAACATTCAAGGTGAAATTATGCTGTTTTGATATCGAGACTTTGGAGAAATGTGTCTTGAAGGTTCTTGTAGAAGGTCCTTGGGATTCTCTGCTGCTGTTCCCTTCTGCAGAGAAGAATTTCTTCTGTAGTTACGAATGTCTTGATTCATCAGCAGGGACTATGCAACAATGGGATGGTGATGTAGGTATCTCTTTAATAGTCAGGGAAGTACTTTTGCTAAGACCTACCTTGCCTTGCCACATCAGAACTCATTCTGAGTGGCTGTCAGCTCCCAGGTCTTTTTGCCTGTCCTGACTAGGTGCCTGCCCAGGCCTGTTGCTGAGATCATAGTGAGTCTTGATCAGGTCATGGGAATTTTCCTTTAAAAATCTCTCTAAGCATTTCAACCAGACTTTTTCTCACTTGGGTACTTTCATGAGCCCTCCTTGTTTCATTGAAGTCTCTATATACAAATTCTTTAGCTTGTTAGTGCTGTCACAGACAGGGAAAGGTGGAAATAACTTGATGTTTAGTTGATTTGAACCATGTGATTCTACTAAAGCAACCATTAACCTAGACATTCATTTGTTCTGCATTCTTCCCATATTTAAGGCAAGGAGGTGCTAACCCCGCGTGCACATTGGCACCTTTATCTTACAAAGTATCTGCAAAAGATGCCATTGGTATATATAATTGCTGTGGCTGTAGAAAGGGCTGTGCAGAAATACCGCCCTTCCCTTGGACACTTTGCATCCCTTATCATTGGTACCAGCCTGCAATAATGCTGAACTAAGACAGGTGGAGACTTTGGAGTTCAGTTTCTGGTGACTGCAGTGGTGGGGTGTGCGTGGGAGAGTGGCAGAGTCTGAGCTCCTCACTGAGAGGTGCTTAGAGCCAATTAATTCAGGCTTCCTGCCTGGATGCTTGACACCTGGTGCAAATGTTCAGGAGGTGATGAGGCCTGGACACTGAAACATTGTGAATTTCCTTTCTTCAGAATCATAACCTGGAAAGGGCACTGGACTGGATCTTCAGCCACCCGGAGTTTGAAGAGGACAGCAACTTTGTGATTGAGATGGAGAACAATGCCAATGCAAACATCATGTCTGAGGCCAAGCCTGAAGGGCCCCGAGTCAAGGATGGATCTGGAAGTGAGTCCCTGCCCTAGACATCAGTGCAGCAGTCTGAATGTATTTCAGGTTACACCTCCCTCAGTGTACCAAACCCTTTGACAGCATTCAACTTCAGCACAGAGCTATCTTCTCATAAATGGGTATCTTGCCACTTTGGCTGCCATGGTTTTATAAAAACCTAGATAATGTAGAGTCATGCCACAGGAGTGTTGGTGTGTGTGTGTGTGTGTGTGTGTGTGTGTGTGTGTGTGTTAGGTACCAATTTAGACTTTGTATATTCCTTTCTGTGCATGCTGGATATTGGTTAGATTAGGAAAGTACTCTATCATGGAGCTACACGTCCAACCCAGCTTTGTCCCTTCCAATGAGGTTTACATTTCTTCTTGAAGCGTGGCAGCTTGGCCAAAAGAAGCATTTATATTCATAGAGGAATGCTTTGACTATGGAAAAGCAATCTTAGATCCACCATGATGCTCCTGTTTCCAGGCTGCCTGCTGGCAGTTTTCTGAAGGGCTGTTCATAGAGGTGGTGCCACAGGCAGACTAGTGTTACATCTTTCAGTCGCCAACTCTTATGTCATGGCTGGGTGCCAGGCACAGTTGTAAGCACTTTGTATGTAAACACTCCTTAAATTCTTACCATAGCCAATTTCACAGGTGAGACAATGGAGTGGGAAGATCAGGTGCAGTGCCCAAGGTCATACAACTCTTCAGAGGTGGGGACAGTTCAGATGCGTTATCCATGTTCTTACCATCATGCCATCCCATTGTCGGGCTGTTCCTTCCTGTGGGATGACTTTTAGCTCTTTAGCCTGCCATTCGACATGCCCTGCAGTCACAACCCAGCTAACCACATCTGTTACTTCTGCATCCTTCTTCCTGCAGCCTAGATGTCTGCACCGCAGCAGCACAGTACCACGCTCAGCCACCACCCCCTCTTCTTGCCTGCTCCAGGCCTTTGCCAGGCGAATCGCTGTTTGTGAAATACCCACTCCTGTCACTGGCCACACAATCTCTTCTCCTCCACTTCCTCCTGTTCTTTCTTTTCCTCCTTCCACCGACTCATGCCTTTATCCCTCTTCCTCTATAAAATGGGAATTTACTCACTAAAACTCTTCATTCTGGCTAATTAGGAAAAGGATAAAACACGGTTCTCCCAAATTCTATGTTCATCTACAAAGTCTTGTGTTTTGTTCCAGAATGCAGTAGTCCCAAACATAGGATGCTCTAATAGACGTGCTCTCGGTGATTCCTAGCAGAATTTGTTCCACACTCTGTGACCACTGGTCCACTGCTTTGTAGATGTCCATCATGGTCTTTGGAGATGCTGAGTCCTTTTGGCAGAAGGATGGACTTCAGGATTGGATTGTTGTAAAGCTGCCACGACATTAGGCTTGGGTGGTGGGGGCTCTGATCCTCAGGGTTTCCTTTCTTCTGAGGGGTCATTAATGACAGAAACAGACACATAATCCCTCAGGCTTACTGTGCCTTAGGGCCATGTGAGGATACTCCCATCTTGCTGCATATTGAATTTTGCCCTTGAAGGACACCATAAAATTTATTTCAAGTATCTTTAAGACACTTGGGTTGGACCATGGAGTTGAGGGTGCTGGTGGGGAAGGAGGACTCTCAGAAGTGTTATGAAAAGGTCCATGGTAAATGTGTCTATATTCCAGCCTCAGAGCAGAGAGAAGGGATTGTCAGAGCAAGCTGGTTAGCAAGACCAGCCATATAGGTGAGCTCTGGGTTTGACTGAGAGAGCCTCAGTGAATGAGGTGGAAAGGCAACCCAGAGCAAGTCCTGATGTCAGCGTCAGGCCTTTACATGCACATGCACCCACACTCTACACCCTGCACACACGTGAAAATGGAAAAGGAAAAGAATACAAATGATGTAACGAGCTGTGCAAGGCCTTCAGCTGATTTCTTTTTTAAACTAAGCTTCTGTAAGTGAGGTTTTCAAGTGAGAGATGCAAACTTTGAAGGCTTCAGCAGCTCCCTGTCACACGACCTCTAGAAACAACATGTACTCACTGGCCACCCCTCCCCTAGTGGGGCTTGGAGTTGATCTTTCTTACCCAGTTTTCTCTTGTGAATGGCTTCCTCATTTCCTTTGGCCATTTCCCCATTTTTTATTGAGGTTTTCAGGTGCACTTAAAATTGATCAGCATGAGAATTTCTTGTTATAGATTAGTTTCGGCACACCTCAGAGCTTTCTGAAACTAAATCTTTTGGGCAGAACAATGCTACACTTCTCCATCGGTTCCTTCCTCCTACCCCTGCGGAGCTCTCTGGTTTTCTTTATAAACAATCATTATGTTTGTGGCTTAGTGTTTATCAGAATGATATTCCTTTAAAATTTTTATTTAAAATGTTTTCCTGTGTATTGTTTCAGTTGTCACTGACCTATGGTGAGTGGTCAGCATACAAATCATTGAGATAATGAAATGAATGCAAGGGGGTGGCATTCCTTCGACTACTGAGTGTTGTATGGTTGTTGGCCTTGTGGTAGGCTGTTCTGTAGGGTTTGATTGTAATTACATTGAACACAGAGGTTAACCAGGGGAGATGTGTGTTCTGTTCAAGTATATTGTTTTAAATTCCCAAGTCATTTCTGCCCGTGTTAACTGGTGAGTTGGTTGAGATGTTTGACTTAGATGTAGTGAATGACATTCAAAATAAGATTTCCCTATTTGAGGAGCTGAATACTGGGGAGCATAACTTGTGTAAGCAAAAATAAAATATTATTTCACAAAATCTGGCAACTACTGGGATGGAGGTGGGACTGACCCTAACCAACGCAGTCAGGATGCAATAGCTTTTATCTGAAAGGTCCCAGGTCCTGGCTTCCTGGGGGTGGGTCTCTTACCTGAGAAGGATGAAAAGGAGATGAGGTCAAGCATGTGGGTCACATACAGGCAAGATGGCCTGTGTTCAACTGAGGCTTCAGTTTACCAACAGAAGGGAATTGGTACCGACTAGAGAGACCAAGCTCTTTTGGTACTTTTACTGTGGAGACAGGAGCAATAGTCTGCTCACCCTAAATAGGGCACTAATCAAATGGTTCCACCCGAGTCAAGCCTACTGAACCTGTGAGTTTATTGGGATTAATTACAGGAACACAAGGAAGGCAAAGGTAGCTACATCATTAAAAAGCCCATCCCACTCTGGGTGAAGACCTAATGCTGCATCCCTGGAGCACAGCTTGTAGGCTGCTCCACTGGAGAGTCTCCTCTCCCCAGCAATTGCTCACTGCTCTAGAACCTTGGGGAAGGGCTTGTGAGTCCTGTAAGTTCCAGAGTTTTCTGAGCCTTGTGAGTTTCATTGGCTTCCTCAGTTGTAAGAACCTCTGCTCCCTCTCTGTAGGGAATGTTTTAATTTCAAGGAGATAGTTACATGACATTTCCCAACATACAGAGAGATTCTAATTGATTTGCCAGGGCAGGCTCCTGGTGTTGTCATCTTATCCGAGGGACTTCAGGTGCTTAAGCTGCTGCTGAAGCTGTCCCATTAGGGACAGAGGAAAATAGCCAAGGCTCAGGAGTTGGGTGCCGCTGTCCTCTTGTGGCTTTTGTTTCAGTCCCACTCTCAGACAGGCTCTCCCCAAAAGCTCCAGGATGGCCTCCAGGGTCCTCCTTCACAGCTGTGTCTTGCTGGTTGTGACCAGCACAGAGAGGTTTGTTCCAGCCTTCTCAGGTTCCAAAAGTCTGTGTTCTGTCATACGCTCTATTCAGGTGATGTGCCCCACACAGGAAGCTCAGAGGTGAGCTGAGAAGAGCAGGGTGGGTCTTCTGAAAGCCTGGTTCTGATGTAGGCTGGGCCAGCAGAACTTTTCTTCAAAACATGTCAGGAATGCAAATGGTTGGGCCCTACTCAGATCTGCCAAATTTGGGACTCTGGGGCACCCAGTAACACACATGGCTCAGCAAGTCTGCCAGGAAATGCAGTCTTTCCCTGAGAACCAGCCCTGGAAAGCACTGTCAGGGTAATACAGCTGTAAGAAAGTAGAGAATGAGCCGGGCGGTGGTGGCGCACGCCTTTAATCCCAGCACTCGGGAGGCAGAAGCAGGCGAATCTCTGTAAGTTCGAGGCCAGCCTGGTCTACAGCACGAGATCCAGGAAAGGCGCAAAGCTACACAGAGAAACCCTGTCTCGAAAAAACCAAAAAAAAAAAAAAAAGAAAGAAAGTAGAGAATGGCCTCCAGAACCTTCCACACTAGGTTAGCACTGCACAGTAAGGTAAGTGCCTGACTCAGAAGTGAGTACTGCCAAGATAGAGGTGAAAAGAGGACTTGTTCAGGGTCTTCTTGTAGAGGATTTATGGGTTATGAAGAGCTACAGGCTGAGCATCTTAAAATTTGAAATTCCAAATACTTCCAAGTCCAAAAGTTTTGAGTATTGACATGATGCCTCAAATGAAAAATGTTACACCTGAGCTTCTGTGATGGTGTCTTAGTGTTCTGTTGCTGTGAGGAGACACCATGACCATGGCAACTCTTATAAAGGAAAACAGTTAATTCAGAGGTTTAGTCCATTATCATCATGGTGGGACATGGTAGCATGCAGGCAGGCAGATGCTGGAGAAGGAGCTGAGAGTGCTACATCTTGCAGGCAATAGGAAGTGAACTGAGACACTGAGCAGTATGTTGAGCATATATGAGACCTCAAAGACTGCCTCCATAGTGACACACCTCCTCCAACAAGGCCACACCTCCTAATAGTAGCTACAGTCAGAGGCAGGCACACTTTTTTTTTTAATGTGTATGAAACAAGGGAATTTTGTGTTTTATCTTAGGTCCCAACATTTGCAATATTTAAGAATAAAACAAACAGAAAACAAAAAAATATCTGTAGTTTGGACACTTCTGGTCCCAAGTATTTTGGGTAATAGATAATGAACCAACTGATGCTCCCGTCTTTCTGACTGAGCAAGAATGTCACTGCTTGGGAAGGGCCACTTACACTCTCAGCCCTTCATGAAGCAGCTGCTGTCCTCTCAGCCTCGTCTGCCATGGGCTTC